TTAAAATATATGACCCCCTATCCCCCAAGAAAACCACATCTAAAGGGATAGAGGAATGACTTGGACGTTCTTCTCTCTGGCACTTACCGCCACGCTCTTGCACATCACTGCCTCCGGACGCACAGAAAGCGGAATCATGGCATCTCACCTGCAGGAGCTCATCAACACCTGCTGGGAGATGAGATTGACGCTCAGACATGGCGCTGAAGGCGGGCTGTGAGGGGCACTGGCCCCAGTTGTTACTGGCGCTCACAGAGGAGGGAATTGGGTGTTGCCTGGAGTTGTGAGGAAGGCTTCATAGGTCTGGCGGAGATGGAGCTGGTCCTGGAAGGTTGGGTGGAGTTTGAAAAGTTGGAGGCCACAGGAACCTTGTAGCTTTGTAGGAGCACAGTAGGGCTCACAGCGGAAGGGCAGCTTGCATTGTCCTTGAGATGCTCTCCGAACCCCTTCCCCAAGGCTGGCCAGGTTTCCAGGTTCCTGTGTGCGCTTACAGAAGTACACCGGGGATCTGCACTCTCTTTTCTCTTGTTCTTTTTTATTTTCAAAAATATTTTTAAAAAGTTTATTTTGAGAAAGAATGAGCGAGTGTGAGAGCATGAGCAGGGGAGAGGCAGAGAGAGAGAGAGGGAGAGAGAATTCCAGGCAGGCTCCATGCTGTCAGCCTAGAGCCCAGTGTGGGGTTTGGTCTCATAAACTGGGAAGTCATGACCTGAGTCAAAACTAAGAGTTGGGTGCTTAACCGACTGAACCCCCAGGCTTCACACTTGTGTTCTGTCTCTGCAAACTTACTCCATTTCCTCCCAGATAAGCATCCATTCTTTTCCATGGCAGTGTTGTCGGCCAGGGTGTGGATGTAACAGTGTTTTGATCAGTCTCCCTGTAGATGGACACTCTGTTTCTAGTTTTTGTTATGACAAGGCTCAGATGGACACCCTGTGTGTAACCCCTTGCACATGTCCCGGTGGAATAGATTTCTTGAAGTGAAGTTGCCACTCAGATGTTGTATACCTTTAAAATTTGATTAACAGAAAGTTCTGTTTGTATGCACTCTGACCAAACTGTAAGAGAGTGGCTCTTCACCCAAAGTCACATCAATACGTGTATTACTCATCTAAAATTTTATCCAATTTGCGACAGATTTCTTGTTCTAATAATGTAGTTCTTTAATCATCATTGGGAGTATGTGCCTATTTTTGTGTATTAGCCATTTCTATTTCCTTTTCCATGAATTTTCATTTTTGTATAGACTGATCATTCTTTTGCACGTATTTTTTATGTATGAGTGACGTTAACTTTTTTGTATTGTATGTTGCATGTATTTTTCAAGCCTGTCTTCTTTTTTTTGTTAACATTATGGTGTCTTTCATTGTACAGTCATTTTAAACTTTTGTACAGTTAGTTTGTCAACCTTAATTATAGTTCTAGGATTTGTGTCTTGCTTAGAAGGCCTTTCTCCCATCTGAGAGTAGCACAGGATTCCTCTGTATTTTCTTGTAGTTTTTTTTCCCTTATCTTTCCATTATAATACACATACACACATACACATGCGCATGCACACACTCCGTTTAGGTCTTTGGATCTTTAATCATTTGGAAATATGTTTTTGTGGTAAGATACATGGTCTGATTTCCTTTTCTGAAAATAGATGCCATATTGTTTGGCCACCATTGGCTGATGGGCCCCTTGATCCGGAATGCCATTGTAACATAACTAAGTTGATGTGAACCCTCATCTGTTGCATTGATCGTCCCAGTGTCTCCGGAACTGTAGCTCTCTTACCCATTTTCTTGTCTGTTAATGCAAGTCCTCTTGTGTTATTCTTTCTGGAAGTCTTACTGGCTGCTGTTACACATTTCCTCAGATCACCTAGAGTTAGCCTATCAGGTTTTATAACACACATAGAATATCCCAGTGCAGTTTGTTGGCTTGCATTGAACATCGAGAGTTTTTAAGTGGTGGTTGACAGCATTGTAACGTTGAGGCAAGATCCAGTAGTATGTTTGGTCACTGCACTTCTTCCGCTGTCCCCATCCGAACCACCGTCCCCTCTACGCCGGGCTTCATGAGCAGCCCACCAGGTGTCCCCTTGTGACCACTGGCCCCTCTGATCTCCTCTGCACACTGTGGCCGAGGCTTTGCATGGGCTCTTCCCTGGACTGAGAATATTTCCCTTCCAGCCCCTCTTCCCTCAGTAATTTCTCCTCATATGGGGGTCTTTCCTCAGTTGTCATTTCCTCAGGGAAACCTTCCTAACAAGGTGGAATTTCCCACCTGTACTTTGATCTCCCAGCCCTTTCTTCTTGCTCTGAGCTCAGCTGTAATTCCACACCTTCTCCGTCCTTGGAGTGGAGGTGGGTCCTCTGAGCACAGGGCTGTGTGTGTGGTTCCCTGGCCCGGAGGAGGTGCTCATTACATACTTTAATGCCAGTGAGCTTGCTGTTTTCCTCCGTTTCTTTATGTCTTTAAGGAAAACCTTACAGTTTTCTTCCTATGCTGTTGTCTATTTCTTGTGAGGCCTTATGCCTGTAACAATTGTCTGTTTTGTTGCTGCTGGACAAAAGCTGTTGAGTTTGGAATGTTCTTGTATCTGCTGGTCTTGCTGAACTCAGCCCTCATTCTTGCCTCTCTTTGTTGGCTTCATCCTCAGGCCGCTTGGGGGCCGGATGGCTGCAGCTGTCCCCAGCCTCCCATCTGACCCTCACAGCCTTCAGAGGAAGCAGGAGAGGGTTGCTCCCAAAAGGATTCTGGAGAGCCGGGAGGGGCCTTTTCCGCAGCAGCCCCCAGCTTAGTTTGCTCTCTTCTCAGTGGCTCAGATAGGGCCCCAGGCTCATGGCTGAAGCCTGGTGGGTGAGGGCGTGGCTTAGCTCTGCAGCAGCCACTCAGTTCCAACCTTGGGCTGAGTTCTACTTTCCATGGCTTCAGGGTGGGGTGGGGGGTGGTGGTGGTCACTTTGCGCAGCCGGGATTCCACTAGAAAAGTGGAGGGGCAGACAGGCCCTGGGAGAGAGTCTACACTGGACATCTACCAGAATGGTCCTAGGACTTTCCCATCAACCCAGGTTAACACCTTTCTAGGTACGAGATTTCCCAACATGGAGCCGTTCTTTTATTCCTGGAGTACACTGTGTGAACCATTCTTTGAATATCTGCTTGTGTTTTGATCTGCTAAGATTTGTTTTGAACCTCTTGCCCATATTCATGAGTGCAATTTGTCAGTGTTGCAGGAAGCCTTTTTAATAGTGGAAGTTAATAGAGTGGAAAGATTCTGGGCTGTGAAGGTCACTTAGTTCCTTGGCTACTGTGGCTGAGTCACCCAACCTCTCCGCTCCTCACCTGCATAGTAGGGTCACAGCCACGAGTCACTCAGGCTGTGGTGAGGAGCAAATAGCACCTTTGAAAGCTCCCTTTAAACACTACAGCTTACACAGACTCAGAACTTGGCCTCCTATGTCTGTTCAAGGCACCATTTTTGTGTTTCTTTCATGAGGAGACAGGTTCAGAGAACATTAGCACGGAGATTTCTCTCGGCTTTCTTCATATAAACCGTAATCAGAAAACCAGACTCATGCAGGAGAGGCTCTGGGAACATGACTGGTAAACATTGCATTATTAGTGTTCAGATATTAGGTTTCTGCTTTTCATAATATCCTCAGGGTGCGGGGGAAGATTCGATACTTTCTGAGATTCTGCTGGAAAGTGCGAGTTATTGCTGGTCCCGTTGCCCAATTATTCTGTACTTATTTTACTTAGACTTTAGTAATTGGAAAAAGATTAGATGTCAGGACTTTGTATTTTGTTGATTATATTACCAAAGTCTCTTTAATCGTTTCTTTTATTCCGAGTATTAATCATGAGCTCCTAGCTGTTAGGAGAAGAGCCTAATGGTGGATTCGTAACTTAAAAGAAAGAAATAATTACTTCAGTTTCAGTGGGATTGACTGAGTGTTGATATACCTGCAAATTGAAATGTATTCTCTATCCATTTGGGGCGTGTGGCTGAGACCTTTGGGAGACATAGAAGGTCAGATGGAATTCGGGGGCCGATCTCTTCACCCCCCCGGCCCCTGCTGTGTCCTCTCCTGCCTTTGGGAGGCTCCAGACACATCCCTGACCAGCCCTGTCTCTCTTTGGGTATTTTTTTTTTTTTTAATGTTTTATTTATTTCTAGGAGAGAGAGAGAGAGAGAGACAGCGTGAACAGGGGAGGGTCAGAGAGAGAGGGAGTCACAGACTGAAACAAGCTCCAGACTCTGAGCTGGCAGTCAGCACAGAGCCCGACGCGGGGCTCGAACCCACGAACCGCGAGATTATGACCCAAGCGAAAGTCGGACGCTTAACCGACTAAGCCACCCAGGCGCCCCATCTCTTTGGGTATTTGTGATGGCAGCAGTGACTTGTGTAGTCTGCTTTGAAGTCTGTGTTGTTCTTGGTGTGTGTAACATGGCTTCACCCTTGATCGGTGCTATATGGACACAAGCTTATCCCCGTGAAATAATTTATTTCAAAAGCAAAGCACCTTCTATTCTCCAGCAGTAAATGGTGGGAGTGAGACAGAATTCGGGAAGGAAGGGAGAGCCCAGAGGGTGGTTAAGTTGGGGACAGGTGTTGGTGGTAGGGGTACAGGGAGATGGAGGGTGGGCAGGGAGAAGGGGGCGTGTCGAGGGGAGCCCTTCTTCTGGGCTCCCAGCCCCAGGGAGGAAGGTGTGTGGTGCCTCACCTGTCCTGGGGTGGCTCTGGGGACGCTTGTGATGCATTTGGCAAACACGTGCTCTGTGTTAACTTACACAAAACAGGTGACACTTAGCTCTGCTGGAGTAGAGACCACTTCGTGTCTCTTATATGTTGAGAACAATCAGTATCTGAAATCATTATCCCTTAGGTTTGTTTGGATTTCATTTATGGGGCCCCCTACCCCACCTGACATTGATGGAGCACGTTAAAGCTCCGTGGGGAGTTTGTGGACTGTTTGTAAACCCTGTTTTCTTTGTCTCTTTGTCAACAGAGGAGTTACGGAAGTTGAGCTGGTCCGGAATCCCGAAGCCTGTTCGTCCGATTACCTGGAAACTGCTCTCAGTAAGTCTCCCTGGGGCTGCTCATCCGGGCTCCGGGCTCCTGGCTCCGGGCTCAGCCCGTCAGCCACCGCCCAGGCACGCACCCTGCCTTTGTGACCGCGCTGGGCCTTTGCCTGAGTCACGGTCACATTTTCCATCCTTTGCCTAATTTCAAGCTTGGTTTGACAAGGCTGGTAGAAAATGAGGAGAAGTAATTATTTATGACAGCTGTATTCTTCTTCTCTGATTTTATTATTCTGAAAATCTTTGTAATATTTTCAAGCCTGTGATAGAGAAAGGATCGTGCATAGAAGACTGTTTGAATTCTGAGGAATCCATCACGGCGAAATAGGTTTGATGAAGGCGGTGGGCTATTTTTTTCTTTTCTTTCTTTTTTTTTTTTTTAATGTTAGCGGGGACGTTAGAAGCAGTCTGCGTTTCTCTGATGGAGGCCGGGGTTCAGGTTCTAAACTGCCCATTGTGGACACTCCTGGAGGAGGTCAGGTGGACGGGGTGGGGGTGGCAGCCAGTGGACTCCCGGACCCTTCACTCGGGTTAACGTCAGAAGTGAGCTGGGCCCTGCTGAAGACTTCTGAGTAGTTTCTAGACAGCTTTCTTGTCTTTCCCTTTTTAAATTATTTTTGGAGCTAAATCAGTAGGGAACTCTTAAGTGTTTACTCTAAATTGGGTCTGACTTTTCAGTATTTAAAAGACTCTCTTTTGTTAATGAGTCTTCATAAATTTGCAGCCTAGTACCTTGTAATCCTAAATGCAGATGCAGCTCTCACCAGTGAATATTTATTGATTAAATATTCTCTCGCAATTAAAATTAGACCTATAATTGCTTATGTTTTTGTTTGCTGTTTGTTATTTAAGCATTTGTATCTACTTTTCCAAACGTCCTCTAAGGTAGGTTATAAGGTTTTGAGATTGAACTGTGGGAAGTTTTGATGAAAACATGTTTAAGACCTTATGGTGCAATTTTGTGTTTATTAAGGATGTGCTGCCTCTAGGTGGAAAGCCTTCATGAGTGATTTCGTCCCGTTCCTTTCCTGCGGCTCTCAGTCTCTGTGAGTCGTGGTTGAGATACCCTGAGTGTGCTGCAGGGCAGCTGGCTTGGCCCGCGGGCAGCCTGGGATTCAGTGGGTGGAGGAGCAGGAGGGGAGGGGACAGACGCTCTGCTTGGTTGGTTGGAATGGGAGGGAGGACATGGACTTGGCAGTTCTGGACCTCTTTCAGTTGATGGATGAGTTAAAAAAAGTGTGGGGAGGGGCGCCTGGGTGGCTTAGTCGGTTAAGCGTCCGACTTTCGCTTAGGTCATGATCTCGCGGTTCGTGGGTTCGAGCCCCGCGTCGGGCTCTGTGCTGACTGCCAGCTCAGAGCCTGGAGCCTGTTTCAGTCTGTGACTCCCTCTCTCTCTGACCCTCCCCTGCTCATGCTGTCTCTCTCTCTCTCTCCCCTAGAAATAAAAAAAAAAAAAAATATGTAGGGCTCAGTGAGCCAAGCCTGTTTTTCCAAAGTGAGGGGCACCAAGAAGGGATGGGCGGTCCCAGGGCAGCGCAGACTCACGTGGACGGCAGGCCAGGCTTCGCGGTGATGGTGGGAGGCTTCTGGAACATCTTGAAGGGTGTGTTAGGGGCCTTGGGTGGGGGAGATGTAGCTGGCATTGGACGAGCAGGAGCCAAGGTGAGCCGGCCCCCCAGGAACGGCAGGCAGACGGCCCGGGTAGGGGTGGGGGTGGGGGGCCTGGGCAGCCGGGGACCAGGAGCCGACGGTCCTGAAGGAGTCGAGTGAGGGGTGACGCGACTATGTGTCTGGAATGGGGAAGTCAGAACTCGAAAGGTCTGTTGGTTGGTTCCTTCATTCATGTGATCAGTATTTCCTGGCACTTTGTGTCTCTGGCACTGTGTTTGGAGTCGGGAGATAAGGAGAGGAAAGGACCAAGTCCCTGTCCCTTATGGGGCCTCCAGAAAGGGGGGAGTCCCTGCCTTCCTCTGTCTCCCCCAGGACAGACCGGGGTTTTGCCGCATGGGAAGGAGACCATTCTCTCAGGAGTCTGGGCCCCCAGTGCTCTGCTCACCCTGTGCCTCTTTCTATGTGTTTTCACTTGCTTCACAGCACTTATTGAGTACTTGCTGTGTGCCCGGCTGTGCCAGTGGGAGAGATGCCCGCAGAAGTGGTGATCTCTGGGTGCAGGGCCGGGGAGCAGATGGGTCGGTATTGTGAGCAGGGCCTGGCCAGGAGGAAGAGGGTGCCGGGCCACTCCTGGGGGTCATTGGAAGGAAAGCCAGGACAGGAAGACGGGCCGGGGGCAGGGGTAGCGGCTGTGCGGGCCTGGGGCTGCTGGGGTGGGGCCTGGCTGGTTCTGGGGCTGTGCTCCTCACTCAGGGAGCGCGTGTTCCTCTCCACTGCGCTGCGCTCTGGGCCCGTGCAGGCGAGCAGGGATGCCATCCAGTCTCTTCGTGCCCGTGCACAGTCCTTTGGGGGGTGAGGACGGGCCCTGCGCATCCAGGTTGAGGGGTGCTTGTCAGACATGGACCTGGGTAGGTGGAAGGAGGTCAGAATTCTGGGGGCTGTCGTCTCCTCGCCTCGAAGCGCTCGTCTTCCGGTTACTCCCAAGCGCCCATCCCAAGCGTGTTTCCTGCCCTCAGAGGTGTGGGGAGCTCGGCGCAGGAAGTTAACCCCGCATTTCTGACCCAGCAAGTGTTCCTTGCGTGTCTGCCCTTGGCCCTTGGCAGGTGCTGGGTCGCAGGAGTATCTGGGAAAACGGTGGGGAGAAAACCTAGCAGGCACTTCGGGGCCATGGGGTGCAGAGAAGGGTCTCCCCAGTCCAGGCCACCTCTCAGGGACTCTCTGAACCCGAGGCCTCACATTCCACTCCCCTGGGCCCACAGAGCAAATCGGAGCCTTGGGGTGTACCCGGGTTTGCACCGGCTCCAGCCTACCCCAGGCGGGGGGGGGGGGGGGGCAGACGGCAGGGGTGTGGGGGCTTTGGGCTTTGGGCTGCTCTCTTGACCCGTGCTTTTTCGTTCTGGGTGCACATTCATGTGACCTGGGAGCTGGGGAACTGTTGGTCTCGTAGTCCCCCAGGGTTGGAGACGGCTGCTCTGGGACTGGCAGGTGCCGTGCGGGGCAGGCAGGGCCCGCAGGGACCGGCTGGGAGACGGCACCCGCTGAAGGCAGCGCCTGGGCCCAGGTGCCTGCTCGACCAAGAGTGTCCTCGAGGCCCAGCTGGGGCCCAGGTGGGGTCTGGCTTGTCCCATCCCTTCTGCTTCCAGGACCCTGACCCCAGGACCGAGGAGAATCTGTCATTTGTCCGGTGAAAAAGGACAACCTGAGCTGTATTTGAATGTGGACCTCGTTCCAGACCTGGCAGATGAATGACTTTTCTCCCCCAGCATGTTCACGACTTGTCATCACTGAGATCCGGTGGCTTGTTGAAGAGCACTGTTCTTAACTGATGAGTAGGAAATGCTGCTTTAATGAAGAAAGATGGGGAACTTGGCTCCTGTCATTTATGGAGGACCGACGACATACACTCTGGTCTAGAACATACCATGAAGCCCCCATCAGTGCTCTTCAACATCTAAATTCCATGCAAGTGCGGCAGTAACTTTTTAAAAATTAGTGCGGTCAAAAATCATATTCTTTGGCTCATTTTAAAAAAATAACTATTTCAGAAACATCGAACAAAAACTAATTAAACATTTAACATTTACGCTAGTGAGCAGGATGTTTAGAAGCGGGAAGTGAGATGCTGGCATCCTCGGGTCCCGTTGCGGTGTGTTGAGGCCGGTGTGCATGTGAACCCAGTGGGAGGGGCAGCTGGGTGTTTGTGTCACGGGGATGGGTTGATGTCAGCATATGCGCGTATTGTTTTACATTCATGATTAGTGTTTTTATGGCATGCTAATACGGCAATTAGATTTTCTGTAGTTGTGTCATTTAAAATTCATTGCGCACACGAACATATTTCGTTTGCATAATTTCTAGTCTGGCTTAATTATCGAGAGGCCTCAACTTGCATATGTGTGTTTTCCTTTAGGAATGAGTGTCAGAAGTGTGTGTGGGGCATTTTATTGCCTGTGTTCCCATTACGACATGCTTGCCTTTTAGATTTCTCCTCCAATGAGTGAAGTTAGAATCGGAGGGAGGGAGAATGCTTGAGTCCTCGTTCATGGTCACGAAGAATCCTTTGGTGGCGCTGCATGTGACTGGTGCAGGGCTGCCCACACTGTTCCCTGGCTTTTCCCTTGTGGCCCCGCTGCCCTGGCCTGGCACACGGTGGGGCCTGCCGCCTGGCTGCCACGTGCCTGCCCCTGTGCTCCTCGCCCGGCGGCAGCCTGGACACAGTGCCCCATGAGATCCGTGCAGTCGCGTGGCCGTTCTCGGGGCGTTTACTCTGTCCCTCCACACAGCTGTCTTCTCCACCACCAGTGCCAAGCCCAGAGCCACCCAGACCAAACATAGAGCTGTGCGCTGGCCGATACGGTTTTTCACGAGGATGCTCACACATCTTCCTCCCAGGGCGCGCATGGCTGTGGCCATCCTTGGGGAGTGGTGACCTCAGTAGGTCCGCATGGGGAATCTGTGGTGCGCCCCTCAGTGTTCTGGATGTGGGGGGCGGGAGTCTCTTTGAGCACCGGGCAAGAACCTCTGCGGGAGCTCGGGAGACAGGCGACGTCCCCGCGTCTGAGCGTCTCAGAAGCTGAGTCAGGAAGCACCTGGAGTCCCAGAAGGGACACCGAGGTCAGAGTGCTGACCCGGACGGGGCAGGGCAGCTGTCTGAAGAGAGCTTACTTGTAGTGGGGTCGCAGTGGGGATCAGACAGCTGCCGGGGGGAGGCAGCTGAGCTCCAGCGACCACGTGTTCTCGGTCTGGCTGATGCCGCTGTGACAGGGGACATATCTTGGGGAAAGGCTGCCGTGGGCCTCGGGCCCTGGAGTGTAGACTGGAGGTGAGAAGCCAGCCCTGATTCCCCAGGTCGGGGGCTGCTCTGTGTCTGCAGCCTCTGTCGCAGCA